AAATCGTATTTCATCTGATTCTAAGTCCCTTTCAATTTCCAAGTGCCTGATTCTTGACAGGAAATTACAGTATCAGAAATAATAAAAGAAACTAACATTTAAAAACAACCCAGGCAATTACTGTATCATTTAGCATTTGCTCATCAACACTGCACAGCATTTTAAGTTACTGGTGCTGGAGTAACTGAGGTTATGACAGCACAGACGGCTGTAGACCCTACTTCGTGACATCGGCACATTTCAGCTTTAGAGTCCGCTACATGAAGATTTTAAAGGCTAGCCCAGGTAAAACAAAGAGAGGGTAGCCTGGGAAAGGTCCATTAATTTATATTCCACAAGAAGTTTCCTGTGCTATTGGCCCTGGACAACCCTCCTTACCACGACTCTGGGAGCGGGGTCAGTCCTGCACCTGCAGGTGGCCCCAGGGTTGCCAGGCTCCAGAGCCACTGACCTTTCCGGACCTGTCCCGCCTCTTTCGGCTGGGTGGGGGTGTGGGCTTGATCACGCCCTAGAGGAGACAGCTCTGTGGCCTTTGAGGGTCCCAGAAACACCCACTCCACAACTGCAGGAGCTTCCTCACCACAGTGATTATTCACTTTCTTTGTTAATTATTCATTTTTTTTCCTTGTTTTAGGATTTTTAACTATATACTGTAAAAGATTCCTTACTGCTGTTCATTGTATTTTGAGGTTCAGAATTTCTTTTCACCTGTGTGAGGAAAGGGGCTGAGTGTTGAGAGGCAGCACAGGATCCCAGGGCCTGCCCTCCCCGAACTGGTGCTCTGGGGGTCAGGGAGGGATGGGGGACATGGTGGTGTGCTCTCTAGCAGACACTGAGAATTGAAAACAAGCACTCAAAAGGTTTGAGGGTTTTTTTTGTTTAGTTTTTTTTTTTTTTTGACGAAGTCTAACTTTGTCACTCAGGCTGGAACGTACTGGCGCGATCTCGGCTCGCTGAAACCTCTGCCTCCTGGGTTCAAGGGATTCTCCTGCCTCAGTCTCCTGAGTAGCTAGGATCACTGGCACCCAGCCCCACAGTCGGCTAATTTTTTATTTTTAATAGAGATGGGGTTTCACCATGTTGGCCAGGCTGGTCTCAAACTCCTGACCTCAGATGATCTGCCTGCCTCAGCCTCCTGAAGTGCCAGGATTACAGGTGTGAGCCACCGCGCCTGGCCCTCAGAGTGGTTTCGGAGGACTCAGGGTGTGGCACGGGATCACCTTACCAAGAGGAAATTCACAATACTTGCCAAAAGTTTTTCCACAAGGTCTCTTGCCTTAGGGAAGAATTTTTCTGGAAAGTCATATTCCAACTTAATGATCTTCTGAAATATAAGATACTCATTTCTGTAAAAAAAAAAAAAAAAAAAAAAGTCATCCCAGGCAGGGTCCCAGAAGCCTCCACACGCAGGGATGAGAGCCCTGGCCTCGCAGAGCCACACACCCACCCCAACCCTGCACTCTGAGAGCCCCCCACCTGGGCATGGCACCAAGTGCTGCCCTCCCCCACCCACCTCGATGTTGGGAGGGACTGCGGGCCACTGGGGTGCACCCCAACAGACTCCGAGTTCCAGGAAGAGCTCTCCTTACCCAGCTCGGAACGGTGGGAGTCCTGCCACAAGCTGGTATATTATGCATCCAAGAGCCCAGAGGTCTGAACTTTAAGGGGAAAAACAAAAAAAGACGTGTAAAATTTAAGTGAAAAGTCCAGTTCATTTTCTACTCTGTCTACACGACCCCAGTTTTACCTCCAATGCACTTCTGTCCTTTAAGACCAGTTGGCTGATCACCAGATCAGGAGATTGAGAACATCCTGGCCATGGTGAAATCCTGTCTCTACTAAAAATACAAAAATTAGTTGGGCGTGGTGGCACATGCCTATAGTCCCAGCTACTCGGGAGGCTGAGGCAGAAGAATTGCTTGAACCCGAGAGGTGGAGGTTGCAGTGAGCTGAGGTTGTGCCACTGCACTCCAGCCTGGCAACAGAGTGAGACTCTGTTTCAAAAAAAAAAGAAAGAAAAAGAAGAAAAGAAAGAAAAGAAAAGAAAGAAAAAAAGACCAGTTGGGCACAGAGGGTCTGCACACGGCAGGCACCACTGGTCGCTTAGCTATCCCCAAAGCTCTGCCACTTCCAACAGGGCTTACCAAAGTCCACACACACCTGTCATCCTGAAGCACAGCAGAGCTCACTCCTGGCACCATGAGGCTATAGACCAGGCAGGGGGCAGGAGGGGAGAGAATTGGGCTGACCCTCTTCTAGTAAGACAACTAAGAAAGCTGAGGGAAGCACCCTCTAGTCAGTGCTGGCGGAGGGCTCACTCAAGCCAGGGACAGGCAAGTGTAGCACGGGCGAAATGGATGATCATAACGTTCACACTTTCTTTAGTGTTTTGTTAAAACAGAGAGGAACAAAGGCAAACGGGCAGCAGAGCCCCAACCTTTCATTGTGGAAGCAGCGGAGAGAGGAGGGGCAGTGGGGGCACAGCTGTGCCTGGCGCCTTCATGGGTTCTTCTCTAGAGCATGGAATTTAAGCAGAAAGGGATTTCGGGGTAGCTTTTTACCTCTGTGAATTATCGAACGTTCTATCATAAACATTTACTTTAGAATTTAGATGTAATATGATAAAAAATTAAAGGGGAAGCCAGTATTATACTTCTGGAATGTGTAGGTAACAAGGGTGTATCAAATGTTCAGTTAGACCAACTCATGCCACTTGTTGAAACCCAAACGAAGGAACTTGGGGCGGCCCCTCATTCAGCTCAGCAGACCCTGTCTCATCCACCAGAGGGACAACAGGACAGCCCCACCCCAACCCCAGGCAAACAGACCTCCTCCTGCCCATGCAGGTTGGGTGGCATATCAGGCCCATGCCAGTGAGTGAATAAAAGGAAACCCCTTCAACACCCAACAGTAAAGAAAAAGGTTTATGAACTACAATCTGTTCATATGACAGAAAATCACAGACTGGTAAAGACACCCACAAGTCATTCGAATGACATGGGGAGGCACCCATTACCTCATCATGAGAGGCAGGACTCAAAACTGCCTGCCCAATGTGGCTTGAATGGCATAAAACCCACACAAACAGTTATAAAATGCGTAGAAAAAATGACTGGAAAGGCACAGATCTGTATACCCAATTATCTGTGACTGTAAGTGGGTTT